GATTATATGTGCTTTGTGCTGCAGGTACAGCGTGTTGCTGCTGGCTTTGGTGTCCCTCGTAGGGGCAGCGCCCTTCGTTCCTGAGGCAGCGCGGGCCTTAAACAACCCTGGCCTGTGGGAAGGAGACATCAAGGGCGTGGCAGGACAGAAACCTGGGGTATCTATAACTTTCCTTTAATTCTTTAGCTTCCTTCATATCTATTTTTTGTTTCTTTCTTGCTTGAAACTGACATCCTCTAGCTGCTGGACATGACTCAAGCTGTATATGCAGCATTTTGTATCAGAACAACATATTTTAGAAATGAAATAAACGTCTCTTTAAATGTTTGCATTTGTTTAGAATTACAACAATTAAACAATAAGAGAAAGTTATTTACCTGGCCTGAAGCTATTTAGTTTCGCCTCGGACATTTTTCATATAAGTTGAATTAAAGCTTTTTTCACCAGGAGGAGAAATCTGCTATCATAGGAGACCAGTTCCTGTGGACAGATGGTGTGATTCCTTATATCCTTGGTAAGTATTTGCTCTGCACATTCCCCTTCAGTGTATGAACACTCTGCTTACAGATTTCCGTGTCGTGCAGTATCCGGGATTTACCTTCAGAAATGGAAAAAAATATAGCAATTTCATACTATTTATAGCGGTGCATTTCTGTGGATGTTCGTGAATAGAAGCATTTTTTCTTGCGTACAGTGTTCTTCAAATGTTTCAGTGCACTTGGATGGATCCTTTTATTGTTTCCTTCATTAGTCAGTAGTATTTACAACTCCCCCCCCCCCCCTCTCTCTCTCTCCCTCTCTCTCTCTCTCTCTCTCTCTCTCTCTCTCTCTCTCTCTCTCTCTCTCTCTCTCTCTCTCTCTCTCTCTCTCTCTCTCTCTCTCTCTCTCAGTATATGTTATATTTTCATGAAAGTAAATACCTATCGTTAGAATCAGGCGTAATCTCTCTTTAGTTTCAGCTGAAGCATTCAATTCTTGCCATCCCTCATTATATTCCCCTGAAAGTCCATCGTCACTCATAAACTGTTTTTATTTTATTTATTTATTTATTTTTATTTTTGAGGGGGTCATATCAAGATCATCAGCGCCAGCCGTAACATCGAGGCAGAACTCCCCCTTCTATCATCTAATTTTGCTCTTACTCGAATAACTTTTCTCTGACACAGCTGGAGGCTCAGACGCCGAGATCGTAGCCGCAATGGACGAAATCATGTCGAAGACTTGCATCAAGTTCATCCCGCGTTCCGTCGGGGAACACAACTACATCCGCATCACTACCAACGGTGATGGGTGAGTTATGATTTTATCATTATGATTATAATGGTATTAATAATAAAAATGATAATAATGATAATAATTGTGATAATGATAATAATAGTGATATTGATAATAATAATAATGATAATAATAACAATGATAATGATGATGATAATGACAATGATAATTGTGATAGATATAATGATGATAATAACAATAACAGTAATGATGATGTTGATAATAATGATAATAATGGTGATAATAATAATAACAAAAAAAATAATAATAATAACAATAATAATAATAATAATAATAACAATAATAATAATAATAATAACAATAATAATAATAATAATAATAATAATAACAATAATAATAATAATAATAATAAGAAGAAGAAGAAGAATGGTCATGATAATAATAACAACAACATTGATAATATAAATAACAATAACAATAGTAGTAGTAGTAGTTTTAAAAGGAAAGACAACAGCAACGATTGGCCATTCTTAACATTAACACCATGAGGATATGCTCTCAAGCAGGACGAGCGAGGTGGGGAAATCTCTCGTGACTTTTAGCGAAAACACACTGAACTGACCTGACCTCATTCCCCACGCCATCCCCAGGTGCTGGTCCTACGTGGGCATGATGGACGGAGGGCAGGAGATCTCCCTTGCTCGCAACGGCTGCATCTACCACGGTACCATCATCCATGAGCTCATGCACGCCATCGGCTTCTTCCACGAGCACAACCGCATGGACCGCGACGATTACGTTAGGATCAACTATGAGAATATTGATCCTTGTAAGAGTTGTTCAGTCGCGGGCTTTACCTGTGTTGTTTTTCGTATTTTGTTTTGTTTCCGAGAGCTGGTTCCCTTTCGGTTCATTTTAGGTTTAAAATTTGATTTTAGAGGTAAGGTAATTCCGAGAGATCTGATAGTTTTCATTGATATTAAGATTAAATATATCACATGAATCCATGCGTAATCTGTCGTTAAGGAAAGAGTTTGGATGTAAACGTGTTACTTCGGAAACTAAACTCGTTATCAGTATATGATCTATACTATTTTGTAATAAGTAGATAGCCACACACGTTTACCTTAATTCATTCTTACTTACAGCGATGGCTTACAACTTCGACAAGGACACCAACTCCCAGTACGTAGGCGAGAGCTACAAGTACGACAGCATCATGCACTACGGCAAGTACGCCTTCTCTACCCAGTGGGGCGTCCTG